TTTGGGACTGATAGACTGACTGTTTCTCCAATCTACCCTGCCTTTACGGATACATCTCTGATATCTCACACTTCTGTATTCACTTTTTATGTCGGCAGTGGGAAGAGTCAAGAATTGATTAAGCTCCAGCGAGCCTTCTTTGACGAACGATGGTCCGCCAATCGGATCGTCACCGCCCTGGACTGGTCGTCCGTGTATCCGGAGCTCCTTCTCGGCGCTTATGACGCCAATGAGGAGGCTAAGAATGAACCACAGGGCGTGTGTCTGATATGGAACCTGAAGTACAAGAAGACCACTCCGGAGTACGTCTTCAACTTCCAGACCGCCATCACTGCGGCCATTCTGTCGGAGTTTCATCCCAGTCTGGTGATTGGTGGAACATACGCCGGGCAGATAGTCCTCTGGGATACACGGTACGTCTCCTGTGCAGTAAGATTGGCTATTTTTGCTGGTTTTCTTCCACTCTAACGCGCCTTGACCCTAGTGTCGACAACCCCGTTCTCTGTGATGGTGATGTTTACTCAAAAAGACCTCGCCTGCTTTTTCGGGACATTTCTCGTTAGTCTTATATAGATTTTAAGCACTGTCCCCGCTGTCCGTTAACTATCCCATCTCTTTGAATACCTCCGAAGGCCCATTTAGAGGGCGCAGTTTGTACACGCCGAAGCCTATGTGGTGAGGGAGTTTAGATAGCCAAACAATGACGATGGAATGGCCATTTATGACTTTTTTTCCCGCTTTACTGTTACACACTTTCAAAATCTTTAGCCGTTCGATCTAGCGTTCGACCGGCTGTGTGCTGTCGCCCAACCCGTTCAACTATGCTATTTAATGGATTTTTGGGAAGGCTCTACATGAAGAGGACGGTGTTGAGCTTGCACCCGGACGCCGGCTGATTGATCTTGACGTCAACGCTAAAGATATCCCCAACCCCTGGATTCTGTCTTGCGGGACCGGTGGTAATGGGTGTTTTATGGGTGGTTCCTATCAGGGGAAAGAAAAAAATTGCTCAAAAGTAGAACGCATAAAAGCAAAAAATAATAGGAATGTTTAGTTAAATAACCTAATGTTTGTCGCGCAATAATTGAAAAGAGAAACACAACCAATAGGAAACATAACTGCATAAATATCCCGTGAATTGGATGCAAACCTACATCGACTATATGCCGAAATTTAGAGATTAAAGTAAAGCCATGACAAATAGGATCTTCCCCCAGGAAGTTAAACATTTCCGCGTTAAAGGGTGTAGTAATAAGCATAACTACTAAAAGGCATAAAGTAGTTATCTAAGTATAGTTGTCGTAAGTTGCGGGGCAACTTAATTGTTACCATCTCGACTACGCCGATGATATCGCTTTACCCGTTTTGGGCTTTGTTGATCTACCACCTCTGGCGTCACGGGTAAAATAGTTTGCTGACTTGGTCGGTTTGTCTGTAAATGCTTAGGAGATCAGAGTGTTTTCATGTTGCATTCCTGCCTAAGAGAAGGCATTAATTGAGGTTGATAGCTGTCAACGTGCAGAAGTAGACAGTTGCTGCCGAATGAACAGAGTAAGAATGACATTGTCTCCCGAATCTATGCAGTTCGTCGATTTCTCAAGCCTTACAAAGTACCTATGGCGCCGACATGATATTTCTATTGCCACAAAGGTTCGCGTGTACCATGCATCATTTCGGTCTGCCTTTATCTATAGCCGTGAATGCTGAGCTATAGGCGTTGAAGACCGGAGGTATTTGACCATCACTGTTTGAGGAACATCCTTCGAGTGAAGCACATTGACTTCCTCTCAAGTTAGACAGCCCGCACTCGCTGTGACAACTTTGCAAGGATATCTCAGACCATCGAGGAAAGACGACGAAGGTGGTTTGGATATGTTATTCGTCGTCAACCCAATGAGCTGAGTGTTACTGTCCTCGATCAGACAGATCAGCTCAGATTCCGTTCTTGAGCCTTCGTTATTGGGCCTCCGGCTTTGGGGAAGGGACTAGACTGAACAGCCCAGGTCTGCTGCCATGACCCGTCACACGTAAATAGGTACTATCAAGAACAAAATCTACGCCGACTAGATCGTGCATGATCGACGCCGTAACAAGTGCAAGTACCCCGTCTTTGTCCGGCTGTATCGAGACCCCAAGCCCGGAGGAGCAGAGATTTCTACCCGGACCCCTTCGGTCATTGCGCCTAATGCTCTGCCAGTTTAGTCACCAGTTCATGCCCGTCTGAAATTTTAAAAGTCCTGCTAAGATGCCGTCCACCGCTCTCCCATGACTGCCAGGTAATAACCCATAAGTAGCCAATCGGTTATCTCCTGTTCATACTTATTTGCTCATTAGTGTTCATCGCTATGCGATTGGCTGTGGCGTTTCT